AACATCTGTTTCTAGTGACTTAGGCTAACAGGACCTCCTTCCCAACGCAATGGGCAGATGATAGCAGGAACAGTAAGAAGGCCAGGCTACTGTTTACAAATTGCCTGGTGAATTGATCAGAATCCATCCAAGCACATTTTGATTACCCGTCTGTCCTTAAGAGTGTACGGGAGACTGATTTCTGGGGAGCAAATTTTGGCATTTGTAAAACACAGGCACTACCTCTGAACTCCAGGGCAGGCCTTTTGCTGAAAACCAGGGCTATGAGTCAAACATAGCATAGACAGGCATTTGCTACAGCTCTACAGGCTGTCCAGCAAGAGATCCTCACAGTCTCAGTCATTATTTCCATTCCAGCTTGTCTTCCCTAAAACCTGGTAAGACAGTTGCGTTACTGCCACACTTCCAAGCAGTGAATTCAAACCTGTAGACTTTCTTCTTTACTTTCAGGTAGACTTTTAAAAAAGGCCAAATCCCAGAACATCAACAATCTCTTTTGCTCACTATCCCAAAGATAACGTTCAAAAAAAGTATAAAATCTCTTTTACAATTCCAGTGAGAAATGCACCTTTTCACTTAGAAAGGACAAAGACAATTGCATTTTGGAAATGTTCTCTGGACACAGATCTCCCTTCATCCTTCACATGCAAAACCAGACTGAGCAGATGAGGCATCTTCAATTTATAAGATTAAAACAAAAGACAGAAAGAGAATTTGAAGATATTCTTCCAGTATGGTGTAATTTCTCCTCTTCATTCGCATCCCTCCAATTTCAAACAACATAACTAGTGGTTTCAAAAGGAACTATAATTGCAGCATCCTCACAGTCCCATGCAGGCAAAGAGCTGCAGTCTAGTTTTATTTTTCTTACACCCACAGAGAATTCTGTTTTGTTTCAACCTCTCATTACTCTCCCTCCCTCACTTGGCTCCAAACATCAAATTCTGTCTCAGCCATTCAACATCTATTCCGTTGGGCTGCTTTTTTCTCTTACCATTACACATACATATTGAACAGCTGAAACCAAGAAAAGGCACAATTAATGATTCTGAAATTTTCCAAAGAAAATGGTTTCACTTTTCCCCAATTTGAAATTACTTTTTGGTTTAAAGAAGAAAAAAAGATAAGAAAAAAGTGCCTCCCATAAAACCTTACCTACATCTCAAGAACTAAATGGAACATTTTAGGTTAAACAAAGCTCCAGTTTTTGAGAGAGGAGGTTGGTTTAGGCTTACTTGCTTGCTTTTATTTCTTAAATCACATAAAAAGCCTAAACAAAGCCCCTGCTGCATCTTGGTGTGAAACCAATTGCTTTTACTGTCACATGGGAACCAGAACAGCAGAGGACCTCTAGCCCTCAAATACGTAACAAGTTACGAGCCCCAGTGAAAATCTGTACTTGCTGTTTTAGCCTATAGCCACAAGTAAGCAAGAAGGAAAGAACAACCCAGGAAAAGCAAGAGGCTAAAGGGCAATACCTGCCACATATTCACAAACTAACAACTGGGTTTAGGGCACATCAGGGTACATGGGACAAGGCAAAAAGCAGGGATTTCTAAGTACGAGCCTGACCAAGTGGAGAATGGTCAGGCACGAGGGAACACTAGCAGCAGGACAGAGCCTTCCTGAAAGTAGATGGGTCAGGATCCGACCACAGTTTTTGCCAAATATAGATGGGTCAGGATCTGACCATGGTTTTAACAGTCGATTACACAAAAAGTGGTCTGAATTACCTTCAGGCTAACCCCAGAAAAATCCCCAACTCAAAAATCCAAACCGGTACCTACTTTGTGGAAAAACAGACAAATACCCCATGCGATGCTCCTTTGAAGAGAACAAGCTATAGTATAAAAGAGAGGACATTGTGATGCAGGGCATATGGGTCGTTCAGCAATAGTGTGATGGGGGCTACAACCACAGTGCCAGTACCAGTCCTGGATCTGCACAGCAAAGCAAAGGACTAACACGTCTGACAGGAAGAGTTTCAACACCGACAGTGTAGAAAGCCTTTAGAGAAATCCTACTTCTGTTGGAGACTAGTTTTGCTAGCTAAGCTGCTGATTTTGCACTCTGCCCGTCCAATCACTCACATGGATATTGAGCTGCACGGCTTCCTCTCTCGCTGCTCACCTCTCTTTACTAGAGTATGCAGTGATGCTCAGCAAGCCCAGGACACAAGCCCAGAGCACCCGCACCGACACGTTAATAGGACAGTCACGGGCAACTGACCTCCACAGAGCATTTGCAAGGTCCCGGCTGGACTGAAAAAATGGTGTGTCTCTCTAAAGTATGCTCAACAACTGAAGCAATGAGTGCAGGTAAAAATTCTGCTTGTTAACAACAGAAGTACCTTAGGCCCAAAATGGACATGGGTTTAATTAGTGTACACAGCGCATATATGCACACATGCACCCAACTAGCCATACTTGAATTTTACAGCAGTACACAGAAAATAAGACAAGGTGTTTTTGTACATGTCTGATGTTCCCTAAATCATCTTTTGGTTCTCAAACATGCCCTTGTAATAGTCACCTGACAGAAATGTATGATCAGTGCTAACCATGAGATGCAATAGCCAAAATTTTTTTTGTCCTTAAACGCCATCTGTTAAATCCTCATGATTATTTAACACACACACACTTTTACAATTCTGTATCAAAACCCAAAACTACAATGAAAGTAGAAACTATAAACTGACAGAAAGATACATTCACTTTACATTCAGAAATTTATTTCAAACTGAAGAGTGCAATCTCCTTATTTTCCATATATGATCAGTCAAGTCTGACCATCTGCATCCCGAAGTAAGTAGTAGAATAATCTGCATCAGTCTGGATTTAACTCAACAGTATCAACATATCATTTTTACCACCTTTCCAAAAACAATCCGTTTCCACCAAGCACATCTCACAATAATAAGCTTTCCAATTTTCCACAGAAAAATGCCTTTCAGGGAAGCAGGAAGGGAAGGAATGAAGAAATACATTACAGTTAGAAATCTATTATTTCAACCTTCCTCACCAAACAAAATCCCTTCAGTGTAGGCAAGTGGGTTTCACAAGTAGTAAATGGACCTTTCTACATCTACACAGAAGCAAGAAGTCCCCCATCCTGACTGGGTCGATAAATGTGAGTTGTACATATTATATAACAAAGCGTGGCTTTGCCTTAAGTTTCTTTTTATATGACATAGAATGACTTGGTTTTGGAAATATCTGGACTTGTTTTTGGAAGAATGTCTAGTTGTATCCAAATACCTAGTTTTTCCTACATTAAAAAAACGGAACCGAGTGAGATTAGATATATGAAACCTTGGCTTCCCATTCACACTGGAGAACTGCAATGAGATATTAACATTTATTTCTCAAGTTATGAAATGGAGGAGATGGCATTAACTCTTTCACATAGCCAGTTCATCCTCTCAACTGTTTGATGGGTCTCTGAGTTCAACAGATTTAACAAAGAAAAGAAACAAAAAAGCATTAGACAGCATGACCAAACATCCTCTGCCTCTCAGTTACAACCTGACAAATCTGTAGCTTACAGTCTGAGTTTTATGTCATTATCACAGTATTTCTCTAGATAAGTCTTCCCCAAAAGAAAAGGCTTTAGACCAGCTATTTCTAACACAATAGGCAAGCAGAATTAAAATAAAGATACGAACCTTTGAGCTGTCACCATACTTCCTGAACCAAAAACAGGAGGCAGATGAACATTTCTTTTTGTTTTGCAATTAATTTTAAGTAATACGTGATGGACTCTGACCTGGTAAAGCTCCTACTCCTCCTATTGGTAGATCCTCAAACTCCACAAGCTGAAGAAATGACAAATTTTGCTGTATTTCTACATGCATTACAGTGTGAGTCACAGTTAAACCATGCTCAGAAGGAAGTACTCCTTGTAGGTGGTGTGGAAACAGCTAATTTGGTAAAAGCTGTTATACTAAAACTATCAACCAACAATTCTATTAGTGTACTATTATATCAGAATTCCTGACATGTTTTGGTGGCACATAACTTATGTGAAGGCATCACCTACTTTGTGAACTGATTATTAACATTAATTCTTTTTAAAGCCCTTAAAACAACATTCAGAAAATTTGTTCTTGAGCTTTTCCATGACACCAGTGTGCAGATCTTTACAGGGGCTGCACAACTAAGAATACCCAGTTGACCTAGGAGGCAACAGGGCATTGCTACAGCCATTATTCAAATTGGTTATTAATCCATTCCAAAGCATTCCCCAAGCCTGGCAGCTGCTGCTCCAGAGGTTAACATGGAATACATGTGAGACAGTAATGCCAAGTCACTCAAGCCAACACAGCTTTAGCCTCTTGCTGAAAGACTCTACAGATTCATGACAATAAAATACTTGAGGTTGCTAAAGACTGCTTGAAAGTCCCAGAATAAACCATCTCATTTCACGCACAGTTCAAGCACCACTAAAAGCACTCAGTTGCACTTACTTCTTCCAGTGGAAACCAAAGGCACTCAGCACCCAAAATGTCCTTCTTTTGTTCCCTGAGCCAAAATGCCAAATATGCTGTTTAAAGCTGGATCGATCTCTGCCCCAAGAAGGGGCCAGCCACTCCGTCTTTTTGTAACAATGCTAACTACACTGTGGAAACCAAGCCATGCAGTGGTTTGGGATCCAAAACCATCAAGGCTGACATTATGAAAAAAAGGAAACAAACCCTCCAAAGAGGAGTAACTTCCGACCCCAAACTTCCCAGAGTGGCCCTAAGCACTCATCAGTAGGAGCACAGGGAAAGAGCGCTAGTTCAGAAAAACAGTCATTTAACAACATTTCTAACCACTGCATCGTTTCAGTCATTTCTTAAAGCGATCAAGCTCCAATACTCCATGAAAAGTCCAAGAAGCATCTGCAATGATGTTCCATACTTTCCAGGAGAAAGAGGAGGAGGAGACCATACAAAGAGATGCTAAGCCTTTGTTATTGGCCTTTTTTTGGCTGCCCGCGTATCGTGCACTCACGCTTACCTGACCAAGGGAAGGAAGTGTTGCGTATGCCATGGCCTGATTCATCATTCCTTTCTGCTTCATGATGAGCATGCGTTTCTGTTCCTCGCTCAGGTGCGCCATCTGAGCTTGCATCTGCGGCTGCTGGGACTGCTGCTGCTGGATGTACGGCATCATGGGGTTCTTGCTAGGATTTGCCATTGGCGGGGTCATCCTCTGACTCAGCTCGGCATTGAAGTGGGTCAGAGGTTTGGTGTTGCCGTAAGAAAGCATATTGGGCTGTTTGCTTAAGGAGTTTGTGCCCAGGTTATTTGGCTGCTGACTGATCATATTCATGTGATTTTGAGGGAGGTAGTTATTAATTGCGGTCTTCTGTGGATTGTTTGCCATAGGAGGCACTATCGGGTTTTGGTTGTTAAAGGCTTGGGGATACATCATTGGACTATTTGGTTTGTCTGCACTGAAGGGTCCTCCATATGGACTAGATGGAGGGCCCACAGGTGACCAGCTTGAGGGTTGATTTGGATGCTGCTGCTGCTTCTGCTGCATGAGCTTAGCTCTTTGCTGCTGCTGGGCTGCCATTTGCTTGAGCTGTTCGGCTGGAGACAAGTCAGCACTCGGCATATTCACAGGCCCGGGCCCCGATCCTGCCACAGCTGCCGCTGCTGGATTCATAAGATAGCCATTTCCAGACCGCGCCTGCGTCTGGCCTGGAGTGTGGGCCTGGCTGGGAGTTTGAGGTGACTGAACAACACAGTTCGCTGGTGAGCCGGCGGGGATGGGGGCTGGCGGGGCGCTGGACACAGAAGCTATGCTGGAGGCCGTGGAGACGTTCGAAAATGGAGGACCGGAAGAAGAAGGCCTCACCTGGGGAGAACCTAACGGGACATGAGCAAATGGAGAATGAGACGGATCGCTCTTCACGCTCGCACTCTCTTGAGTTTCTGTGGCAGGCCTGGGAAATTCCGGCTCCTTCTTCTCTTCAAAGTCTTCGTTGAACAAATCTTGTATATCATCTTCTGGAACAGTGTTCGCTAGTTCGTCTATTAGCTCCTGCCACTCTTGATCGTTCAGGTTTATGTCTGAGAAGAGCTTATTCTGATTTGAAAGAGATGTTTCAGAAGTGTCTATACAGCTGGGGTCATCCAAAGGCTCTTGCTTTAGCTCCTTGTTCTGCAGGATGTTGAAACTATCATCTAGCTCGTTGCAACCATTAACAGGGAGCTTTATCTCAGAAAGCCCACCATTTTTACCCAAGTCTTCCAGACCACTACCATGAGTTCCACTGTTCTGCAGGGGCAGGGGAGCTTTCATGTCAAGCTGGTGAAGAGGAGAAACAGCGGGCAAAGGCAAATTATTGGGCAAGCTGTTGATTGCTTCGATACCTGGTACATCCTTCCGTATCCGCTTGCTGGTTGGAGAAAAGTTCCCATCACAAACTCCATTCTGCTGTTCTCCATTGAGAGGTGAACGTGCGCCTTCCAACTTCCTTTTGACCGTCTCTTGAAGCTTAAAGAAAAACAAGAGAAAAAATATTTAATCAGTTGCAGATACAAAAAGAGTGCTGATAAGCCTTGTGACAAGATATTCCTCATCAAGCCTACTAATGACAGTAAGTTTTTAAAACTCTGATTAGGAAGTTTCTTTGATTTCATTCTTATGCCTTGATCAATTTGAGAAGATGGTCTGAAACAAACAAAAAAAAACCCAAAACAAAACCAAAAAACCCACAACCAAACCAAACCACCAGAAAACCCCCAAACCAAACCTGCCCCTGAATAGGAGAACAGAACTGTAAAATACATCTGTGCTCTCCAAGCTACCAGAATTTTATGGAGCGAGTCGACTAACTCAACTTTTTGGTGCCTAACAGTGCCAAGACTTAAAGAGTGCCTAACACAGTGAGGAGTCTTAAACTGGACCAAAAAAAATGGAACCACTAAAATTTACTATTTACTCTGAAAATCTTTTTGTTGGAAGTTTCTAGAAGCTTCTTGAAAAATACCTGCAATACAGTTGATTGACTACTTGTATTGAAACACGTGTTGTTGACACTAAATTTTTTGTGCAAATTCATTAGCATAGTTTCATTTGATTAGCCCTCTGTTCTTGGCTACAAAACATATTGAGAATCACTTTTAAGTGAGGAAAAAAATATATCCACCCTAAAAAATAGAAGGCACTTTGCATGATGCTAATTCAATCAAATAACAAAAAAAATGAAATAACCTATGTGCTAGGAGCTAATGTGAAAGATAAATAACTAACAGAAATGATAGCAAGACAAGTCTCAAGGAAAGCAGTTAAATTAGAAGAATGTTATAAAAAATAGTGTATTAATATAAGCTTTAATTCAGGTTAAAAGCAGCATAGCAAAGCACTGTAACAACCTACAGTCCTTTCCTACCACACCAAACGTTAAGTCCTCCGCTTATGTACCAGGCTAAAAAAAGCATCCCTCTTTGGCTAAGGCAAAAACAATAGTGGGGAGGGGAGGAAGCAAAGAGGTCACAGCTCTAGCGAACGCCTTCAGGACACACTTGCATCCTTGATACCAGAACAATAGAAGACAAAATACTGAAAGATTTTATCAATTTTTTAAGTATTTTTACTGGTAAGAAAGTCCCAGACACACAGCTCCCACCCCTTCCCTAACCTACAGGTCCTCAACCTTCTTTCTTCCCACAATCCAGATCCCATTTATTTCTCCCATCCCAGAGGGTTAGTTCCCCTTTCATCCCACGTGTAAGACAGGCAAGCAAATCCATATCTCATCCCCATTTCAGAGGGAGCGGTTCCGAGAAGGCTGCGCCCTTCTCCTGCCCTTCAAGAGGCCCGCGTGGCCTTTTCAGCATCCAACGCAGAAGGACATGGCTGATGCACGTGTTGCTGCTGCCCCAGCTGAACATGCGTGGGACGCTAAGCTACATGCTGGTCCTCTGCAGAGATGTGACCTTTGTGACAAAGCAGAAAGGCAAGTCTCTAAGCCCTTAAGCAGACCATCAATTCCTTGATTTGTACTGGAGCATAAGAGCTTTTTTATATGGAGAATGATTAACAAGTGGCTAAGAGTCACCAGTGGGTCCCTGTTGGCATACATGCCTGAGACTCTGCCGCCCGTTCCCCCTGCACAAAGCCAGAGCACGCCAAGCCTCCCACAGGCTGAAATTCCTTCTCCTCTTGGCTTCTGCGGTCACAGCCTCTGCCACGTGGACCGCCGCTTGGCTGGGCTCCTCCTCCGGTGCAAGATGCCTGCGCAGCTCCGCAGGACCCGTCCTTACCCTGAGTCTTTCCCCACCCCTGGTTTCTGGGGGGCAGGGAACAGCAAGGCCAGAGGTTCCTCTCCCTGTGCCGCAAGCTGCGATGGGGAACCCACCTGCAGCAAAGCAGGGCTCGGGAAGGCTGCGAGCGTGTTTTGGGCCTCCCCACTGCCTGCGTGGAGTCCTCATCACTGGACTCCCACTCCTCTCCCCTCACCTGACCGCAGCAGCTCTTGCCCCCGTGAGCTCCGCAGATGCCCAAGGATGGGGTCCTGCATGTGGCGGCAGATGTAGGCGGGAGCGCGCGCCGCACCGGCACTCTCTGGATTAAAGCCTGGCGGTGTCAGGTTAATCAGCCACGGTCTGCAGGAGCACACCGGGCTGCGAGGCACAGAGCCCCGCAGCAGAGGCATCACCTTTTCATCGCTCCGTGCCACAGCAGCAGCAAGCTCTAGCAAGAGGCGCTTTGCCCCGGGGTGGTAATTGCCTCATCTGTGCCAGTTAACAGCGATGTGGAAGGTAAGTCAACACCCAGGACTAGTGTGAAGGAGAAAAATCAGATCCCACAAGGAGGCTTATGATACGGCTCTCACCTCCGCTGCTTCCCTCCCCTAAAAACCTATGTTAAGCTGAATACCACCATATGGTATTACAGCTCCCTGCTGCTTTTTGACCCGTGTAACTGGTGTGTGGCAGAAGACTACAGCCGAGCCACTGAGTTTGTTTCACTGATCTTTATATAACCCCGGTTCAGACCCCGGAGATGAGGAAAAGATGATACGGATGTGGTAATGGCACCACTTCACAAGTACGGCAGCACAGTTGCTTCCAAGTTTCCTTTCTTCAGAGCAAGAAAAGAAAGAGCACAATCTGGCCTCAAGTGCAGGTGGTCAGTAACGCAGTTGATATAATGGCTTAAAATAACACATTTAAATGTTGTCCCTAATGGGCCACTCAAACAATTTACAGCTCAAATCACCCATTTCAGCTCCTAAGCCATCTCACTACAAAGTCACTATCCCTCTTTGCCTTCCACATCAGAATGGCAGTCACCGAGCAGCAAGTGACTCAAGACCAAGTTCGATGGGCACGCACATGCAAAAACAGGGTTCGAAGAAATGTCCAAAACTTGCCATGGCCCTTTGCCCCAAGTTCATATTGGCCAAATACTGGGCTAAAGAAAGAACAGTCATACCAAAGGACTTGTTGACAGGCTTCTACTTGTGAAGAACAGTTCATATAAAGAAGAGATGGGAAAAAACTTAACTTGTCTTAATGACAAGTCAGGGATTAGTGAGAGCGATTATCTCCTGAGAAATACAAGAGAACTGACTCCATATGTTTCACAACAGTTTGAAGGTATCCCTTACAGAGTATCGGTAAGAGTGACACACTTCGCCATTGTTTCACACTTTCAGGTTTCACATCGTTTACTAATTTATCCCGAATCCATCACCTTATTTGTACATGAACATTTACCAAAAGAATCAAAACTAGCTAGTGGCAAATAACCAGCCCTAAAAATATCAGCTCCTGAAGATTTCATCATGTGCTGAAACTTGGATGTCCCCCTGTACAAATATACACTGACTTTAGTGAAAATAAAAGCAGGCCCAGTATATAAATATTAATAATCGTGTTTATCATGCATTACAACAAAAAGCAGCTTTAACATGGAAACTATTTTCCATCAAATATCAAATGTACAGAAATCGTGTCTTGTTGCAAACAAAACCAAAATGAAGCCTATTCTAAGTTTGTAGCTCCACATTATTCTCCTTCAGAGGTTTTAGGACTTGGGGGGTTAACAGGCACTAGAAAAAGAAAACCAGTCTTTTTATTTTCTTTGCTTATTGAACAACTGTAGGTAGACAGAAACGTAACATGAAAGCTTTACTTGAAGGCAACATACTGGATACAACCTTTGCAGGTAGGGAAGCACGTCAGCTCTGACATTTTGGAGGGGTTGGGAGCCATAACAATAGACGCATCTCTTCTTTTGGGGGTACAACACAGAAATATTCTTATTAAATTATTTCAATGCAAACATTCATTTTCATATCTTGATTTCTTTCCCAACCACCACGTCAACTATTGGATAGCTTGAATATCATATACTGACCATACACTGGCAAACAGTTTACCAGCACCAGGACTCCACAGCATCTTAGACTAAAATCCCAGCACTTCCCCTTCCCTCTATAAAAACAATGTCTGAAGTAAAATATTCTCCTGTAAAGCATTTTCCCCCTCCTTCTACGAAGTAGTATATAGCTTGTGCATGTGATTTACAGTATGCATCATGAAGATATTGGCAGCAGCTTAGAGATATATGTCTAGGAGCCAAAGATTCTTGAAGCATAAAACAAAACTAAAAGGAAAATAGTCAAATAAAACAAAAATATTAAAATAAAATAAAACTGTTTCCAGTTGCATAGGTCTTTAGCTTTATTTACACAAAATATTTGGCTGATAGACCTGCATTTCACAGCAGGTTTCTACCCCAAAGCAGGAGAGAGTGAGGCGGGACTCGCTATTCTTTATATGCCTTTGGAGAAACTCTTAAGTGCAGAGCAAGAAAAGGTCAAACTTTGGCGGGTTGACTTTTTAAATGACTCCTGACTCGGTGAGAGGCAGGGGGGAACAGAGGCTGTGCACGCAAACATGCAGACACACGTGGACCAGAATGGTCTAATCCAACCCTCCCTGAAATTTTCGGCAGAGCTGCTTAGACATGCCATGACAGACCCAATACCTAAACAAGAGAGTGTCGAGGCTGTCGGCATGGCTTTCATCTGCGGGCAGAAGCTGCTCCGCTTCATCCCACCAGCAGCAATTCATTTTTCAAAAGAAATGAGACCAAGGTGCTGTCGTTATAGCAACAGCCGAGCCACTCGCCGGCCCATCCTCCACCGTCGTGCTGCCTTTGGTGGGCGGCTGTTCCACTCATCCACGGGGAGTGACCAGGGCTGTGGCAGCAGCTTAGTCCTCTCATTGCTCTTTGCTTTTTTTTTTTAAAAAAAAAAAAGGTAGGGGGGAGGGTAGTGGGCAGGGGGAAGCCAGGAGGCTAAATTCTCTTTTTGCCTGTAGAGGTTGAGCAAGATTCGAAGGGTCTAACACAGGTGCACTCCCACTCAGTGGCCAGATGATCTGTAAGCCCACAGACAAGGAGGCTGGGGTCACTTTCACAGATGGTTTCACGCACCAGTTACATAGGGAACATGTTGCCACTGTCTTTCCTCTTGTTAA